AATGTGTGTAAAACCTCAGGAGGAAACTACAATGTGTACCAACAGGGACTTAATCGATATTACAGCAACACAAGGCAACACCATAAAACTATTAAAGGATCTCTATTTACTGAGTGGAAAGTTGTTTGTGAAATTTTAAAAATAAGAGTACATTTTGAAAAGAGCAAAAAGAATAAGCCAATCTTCAAAAATAAAGGTCACTTCTCTCAGGTATTAAAGGTATTATAAAAATAAAGGTATTTTACAAACCATAATGTAAACAGTTGGAATTTTATAGTCACATAAGTTTAAGATGGATGAAAAGATTAAGAATATAACAATTACAGACAAATTAGAGGAAAAAGAATGTAAATCACAGTACTATTTTAGCATGAATCCTCTGATGTTTAAGATAAGATTAGGAAGGTGACAAAAGTGCATCATTCTCATTATTCACTAGATTATCTGATGTCAAGAGAAACATGAGCTTTTATAAATGACTTCCAAAATATATTTTATTCATAGGGTGTTTTGCCTACATGATTTTTTTCTGGTCAGCAAATAAGATGTTTCTATATTATTTTTAGAGGGACTATTATCAAGTTAAATTCTCTGATGTTGAATAATTTTGAGATGTAATTAAAAGCCTCCCACACATTTCATACATTCTATGGCTTATCACCAGTACAAATTTTGATGCTGAATAAGTTGTGAGCCATAATCAAAGGTCTTCCCACATTCCCTATATTCATAGGGTTTCTCACCAGTATGAATTCTATGATGACTAATAAGTTGTGAACTCTGCGAATAGGCCTTCCCACATATCTTACATTCATAGGGCTTCTCACCAGTATGAATTCTCTGATGTCGAGTAAGGTCTGAACCAGAACGAAATGCCTTTTCACATTCCTTACATTCATAAGGTTTCTCACCTGTATGGATTCTCTGATGTTTAATAAGTTGTGAGCTCTGACTGAAGGCATTGCCACATTCCTTACATTCATAGGGTTTCTCCCCTGTATGAATTCTCTGATGCTGAGTAAAGTTTGAGCCACTACTAAAGGCCTTTCCACATTCTTTACATTCATAAGGCTTCTCACCAGTGTGAATTCTCTGATGTCGAGTGAAGTTTGAGCCACTACTAAAGGCCTTTCCACATTCTTTACATTCATAGGGTTTCTCGCCAGTGTGAATTCTGTGATGCCGAGTAAGGTCTGAGCCACAAATAAAGGTTTTTCCACATTCCTTACATTCAAATGGTTTCTTGCCAGTATGAATTTTCTGATGATGACTGAGTCTTGAGGGATGTCTAAAGGCCTTTCCACATTCCTTACATTCATAGGGCTTCTCAATGGTATCAATTATTTGACGTGTAGTAAGCTGTGAGTCATGTCTAAAGGTTTTCCTATATTCCTTAGCTGAACAGTATTTCTCTTTATTAATGACCTGCTGTAATGTGAAGGATGGATGCTGACTGAAAGTGGGCAGAACTTCATGAGTGAGCATCAGCTGACTGACATGTCCCTCCTGAGAGCCGTGTTGTATCTCACACTGGCCATCACATTCCCAATCATCTCTGAAACTAGAGCACTGAAGGTCATGTCTTGTAAGTCTTTCCATTATCTCCCACTGGGCTGAATCTATTTCATAAATTTCCTTCTTCAGAAATAATTTCTTGGTCTTATATCTTGGTTCCAGGACTGAAAGAAAATATGAAAGCAATCACTCACATTTTTCTGTTTGGGAGAAATAAAACTTCAATCAAAATGGGAGAATTAAACTGAATTTTTTTTTAATGGATGAGAAAAGAAAGAATGAGGAGAGATCACATAGTGAGATGAGACAGTATTTCCAAACATTGCTATACATCAGAATTGCTTAGGGGAGCTTGCTAAATATACAGCTGCTTCAGTCTTACCTCTTGTTACAGGATGGCTCTAAACATACACACACACAATCTGACAGCATATGCACACACACACACACATAAGAGCATCCACAGTGTGAACTGTAAAATAAGGGGAATGATTACACCTACAGGGTTCTTGTCAGGATTAAATTAATATGACTAAGGGGAGATTCCCAGGGGACCACAAACTAGAGCCTGCAGTCCTGCAACAATGTTTATAAATAACACTTTATTAGAATATAGCCACCACATTGATTACAAGCCTAAAATATTTACTGTCTGGCCCTTTAAGAAAAAGTTTGCCAGCCACTGGTTACAGCCGTGTTGTCCATTATATCAGCCACTAGCAAGTGTCTATTTAAATTTAACATAATTAAAATTTAGTAAAAATGCAAATTCAGTTCCTAAATGGCACTATCTGCTTTTCCAGTGTTCGTGAACCAATTACAGATAGTGGCTACTGTACTGGAAATCACAGGCATAGGACATTTCCCTCAATGCTGAAAGTTCTACTGGACAGCACTGATCCAGACTTAGGAACAGGAGGCCCAGGGTCTCTTTAACAAACAATAAGGGAATAGAGAGTAGCAATCCAGATGGGAGAATAGCTTAAGAAAAGTCAAGTGTTGAATGAATCCAGCATGAGTGGTGGATAGGGAGGATTCTTTTGTGGAGAGATAAGGTGTCTATTTGGGATTTGATGAAAATACTATGTATGCTCTGGAATTCTGTGATGATTATTATATCAGGAGAAAAGAGAGGACTTAATAAGAGCACACGCACTATAGTGGTGCCGACCAACTGACAGGAAGGGTATTTGTAGGTCAAAGAGAACAGAACAGAATATAATGGGAGGCAGTATATTACTACTGAATAATCAGAGGTACGAGATTCAGTTGTATGAGGTTTGAACTCAAACTGTTAATGGTAAGCTTTATTTTCTTGGGGAAATTAGCTCATCTTTCTGAGCCCCCAATTCTCAGTCTGTACAATAAGAATTTAACCATATCTTATGATCATTGTGAGGTTTGGGAATAACATATTAAAAGTATTTGGTATAAAATAAGTGTTTAGTACTTTGGGGATAATACAATGGAAGAATTTCTATTTAAAAATGGGGATACTAGGCAAGGAAATATTTTGAGATCACACTATAGACCCAGCATGAAACCTTCAAGCCAAAAAAGTGAAAATCATTCCAGTACCATTTTCTTCTTCTTCCTCATAGGGCGGATTCAGCAGCTGCTGCCTAGTCTTCCTCCTAAATACACGCTTCTATCTTCAATACCGAATACAAAGTATCTCTCTCTCGAAACACTGGAATAGCTTCCTACCTAGGTTTCCCTCCTTGAAGTTCGCAATCTTGAACCCGTGTCACTAGAATGGCATTAGCTTTCCACTACTCTGTTTAAAATCCTTCAGTGATTTTCCATATATTGCTCTTACAATAAAAGCCAAGCTCCTGAACATGGTCTACAAAGCTCTAAATGATCTGGTTCTTGCCTGCCTCTTCAACCAAATTTCACACTATGATCCCTTTTGGTTTACTAAGCTCCATCCACACTGGCTCTATTTTGCAGTTTTCCAAATGCTCCCGAGTCTCAGTTCCTCTTAAGGCCTTTCTAGGTACTTTTCCTCATAGAGAAGCTGTTTTCTTTCATTCTCAGATTGGCAACTACTTTAGCGGTTACTTTAATGGTTATACATTTTGAAGCCTTCCCCAGATCCTATCACCAAATTATACCCCCCTTGTAATTACACTTTCAGCACTGTTTTCTTAACACAATTTTCACAATTTGTAATTACATATTTATTTAATCTTTTTCCCTCAATAGGTCTTAAGTTTATAAAGGCAAGGAAAATATCTATGTCTTTATCCAACTCTAAGCAAAGTATCTGGTACACAGTGTAAGATCAACAAATATTTACTGACTAACTCAATTAGTATTTGAATATGTATTCCTTAATAAAAAGAGTCAAAAAAATTCCTCTAGAAAAAAAGGACATACTCTTTTCAAACACAGCACATTGAATTTATACATTTATTACTGCTTTCAAGAGGTCCCAATAAAAGTTACAGTAATGAGATTAAATGGAGGAGGAACTCTAGGAGGACAAAGAGAATAGGAGAGGAAAGAACAGCAACCTCATTTTGGAAGCTAGAGAGTAGATGTAATGGTAATAAATAATATACCAACCACAAAAAACCTGAAACCTAACTTGTATCTATTGTAGAATCCAGAGAATTTCAAGAAATACAATCTCAGGTGCCTCTGAAAGTAAGGAACATGAGGGGATGCAAAAGGAAGATTAGTTGAAAATCTGTGAGAAACACAGACCTCAGATTCTCAGACCTGCCCCATAAAGCAGACTAATTCCTAGCACACTATACCCAGAAACTCTCAGAATTTGGCAGCCAACATTATTTCATTTATTTTCAGAAAGTAGAGGATTCCATTTTGTAGAAAACCAGCCCAAGAGAAAAGACTTGATAGGCAGCATCAACCACAGAACTGTTTTCAGCAGATCACTCCCCAATGACTACCACCACCAAATCTATACATCCTTAGACACAAACAAGCTTTCTAATGCCAGTTTTGTATGAGATACAGCCTTGAGTCACCAGCTATTTCAGGTAAATCTCAAACATGAAAGATTAAAATAAACAACGAAGAACTCAGGAAAAAGAGACAATGGAGAAATTTTCTTAAAATAGTCAAAAGAATGCTTCTAAAACCAACATACAACAATCCCACAAGAGAATGTCAGAAAAGGAAATATTTAAAGAAAAATGTTTTATAAAAATTAACAGAAAGATTAAGCTTAATAAAATCTCACAGAAAGTATGACATAAAAAGAAACAGGAAAATAGAAAAGGCAAACAAAAAATTTTGAAGGCTAGGACAAGAAACTTGAGAAGTGAATTATGAGTGTTAAATCGTTAAAAAAATTTAGTAAGCCTTTACTGAGGTCCCAGGCACTGGATACAAAAAGTGGGTCAAAGTTTGAAAGAGAGAACAGAGAAAACAATGGGGAATCAGTGATTAAGAAAATAAGAAAATTTAAGAGAGTCTAAAATTTCAGAATAAAGTGTTTCATTAAGTGCCTAGCCAAAGAAAAGAAAAAAATCAACATCATGATACTTCAACATGAAATATTAGAATATTACAAATAAAGAATAAATTCAAAGGCTTCCAAAGAGATTAAAGTTGCATAAAGGAATTAAGAAACTGGATGAGTTGTGGACTTCTCAATAAAAGATGTTAGAAGATATTAGAAATCAATTGGAGTAATGCCTTCAAATGTTTGAAAAACTTACATTCAACATAAAATTGTATCTGTAAATTGCCAAATATGATGAATTGAAAACATTTTCAGATATGCATGGATTTCCAAAATATCCTATTTACTTCTCTTGCAGACTTTCCTTGGTTGCCTTTGGAAGATGTGGTTCAGAACAATGAAGGAATAAACCAAGAAAGATGAAGGCAAGAGATCCATAGTCAAGGTATTCAAAAATATCTAAGGCATCCAAGTACAGAAGAGAATTAAAAAGAATTCAAAGGATAGCAGTAAAGGGAACCCATGGGATTATCATGAAGGTTAATTCTAAAATGACAGCTATGTAATAGTCTCAAATGGAGCAGAAGAACAGAGGGTTAGAGGAAGGATGTGTCAGGTAAAAAAGAAACAAACCCATTACCTGATGTGTCTGAGAAGAGGTTAGTGACAGCTACCCAGAAACTAAGCAACTCTCAATAAAGACAAGGATTAACTGCATGGGAAAGAAAAAGTCATACAAGAAGTGGAATGCAGCAACAGAGCTCAGCAGTGAAAACTGTTTACATAAAAATGATTTAATGTGAATTTACATATACTTAAAGGATGAAGAAAGGTATAAAGCTAAATTTTCCAATTCCATACTGAAAAGCCAAACATAATTAATTCATCATAATTATATGATCAGATTAATTTCTGACAAAAAAAAAACAACTCCCAGATGAGAAAGGATAGAAATGGTGAAAAAATTGGGTGACAGTCATGGGGAAGGAAAATTAGATAGGAAGTAAATATAAAAACAAGTTCCAGGAGGAGAATATGATGATGATGCAGAACGAACAATAAAACAAATTTCTGGGGTAAAAGAACATGGTTAGTAATCAGATGGTTCCCTTTTATGCTGAGAATTTCTGAGGAAAGTTTATATAGATATATATATGTGTGTGTATTATATATACACATACATATATTAGCTATATCTTGGCAAAACTTCTGAAATTCAAAGAAAAAAACCCCATAGAAGTAAAAACCTAATTAATCACATTGTATTCTACTCACATTTGCATTTGGTATTGACCCCAACAGTTCCTATAGTTTTGAGTTAGTTACCAGCCTTGAGCTCTCAGGATATTTAATACAGAAACCTGGATTTCTGGCTTTTACCACTGGGCCTCCATTCTCATATGACGGCTGTCTCCTGGAATTTAGTCTTACCCCCTTGAGACAGGGCAGACTTTCCCTCATTAGCCATTGTCCCTACTGCTACCCAGTCCCACATGGACCCTGAGGCCAGTCTAAGCTGCCATGTACATTTGCAATGCTGTTTTCTTAATTTCACCTTCACTCCTGAAAGGTTTTTTTCTGGAAACAGAATTCTGGGGTGATCTTTACCACAAAATATTGTTCCACTTTCTTCTGACCTTCATGATTTATGAAGAGAATCTAGTCCTTCAAACTGTTTTGTTCTCATAATTAATGCACTATTTTTTTATGGTTCCTTCATTACTTTTTTCGGTCAACCATTTTCAGCCATTTGATTATGATGTGTTTGGAATGGGCTTATTTGGGTTTATCCTCTTTGGGATGGCTGAGTTTCTCAACTGGTATGTTTGTTGTATCCTTCACCAAATTTGGTGAGTCATTACTTCTTGAAAAACTTTTTTCAGTCCTGAACTTTCTCCTCTTCTCCTAGGACTTCAATAACACAAACATTAAGCCTTTGTTATCCTACATGTCAGTGAAGTTGTATTCTTTTTATGTTTAAATCTTTTTCTCTGTTATTCATATCGACTAATTTATGTTAACTTGACTTGGAGTTCATTAGTTTTCCTCTGTTATCACCATTCTCCTATTGAGCCTATCCAATGAGTTCCTTAAATTTTGGCCATTTTATTTCTAAGTTCTATAATTTCTGTGTTTCTTTTTATATTCTCTATTTTTCAATTGGGTTTTTTTTCTTTTGCTATTGAGTTATATGGGTTCTGTATAAATATTTTGGATATTAAACCCTGATAAGGTATATGATTTGCAAATATTTTCTCCCATTTCTCTCCAGGTTGCCTGTTCACTTTGGTTGGTTTCCTTTGCTGTTGCCGAAGCTTGTAAGTGCAGTTAGTCCCCTTCAACTTACTTTTGCTTTTGCTGCCTCTGCTTTTGTGTCAAATCCAAAAAATCCTAAACCAATGTCAAGGAGCTTACTGTCTATGTTTTCTTCTAGGAGTTTTATTGTTTTGTGGCTTACATTCAAGTCTTTAATCCACTGAGTTGATTTTTTTTGTGTAAGGTATAAGATAGTGTTCCAGTTTTGTTCTTGTGCATGCAGCTGCCCAGTTTCCCAACACCATGTATTGAAGAATCCGTCCTTCCCCACTGTATGCTCTTGGCTCCTTTTCATAACGAGCCATATATGCACAGGTTTATTTCTGGGCTCTCTATTCTGTATGTTTCTGGTTTTATACCTTACTGTTTTGATTACTATAGCTTTGTAATATAGTTTGAAATCAGGAAGTGTGATTCCTCCTCCAGCTTTGTTCTTCTTTCTCAAGACTGCTTTGGCTCTACAGGGCCTTCTGTGGTTCCATACAAATTTTAGGATTATTTGTTGTATTTCTCTGAAAGGTGTCTTGGAATTTTGATAGCAATTGCACTGAATCTATAGATTGGAGTAATGTGGACATTTTAACAGTATTAACTCTTCCAATCAATAATCATGGACTATGTTCCATTTACTTGTGTTGTCTTCAATTTCATCAATGTCTTATAGTGTTCAATATACATGTCTTTCATCTGCTTGGTTAAATTTATTTAGTTATTTATTCTTTTTGATGCAGTTGTAAATGTGATTATTTTCTTAATCTGAGTGTTTGTTATTAGTGTACAGAAACACAATTGATTTTTGTATATTGATTTTGTATCCTGCAACTTTAGTATATTTATTAATTCAAACAATTTTTTATGGTGCAGTCTTTAGGGTTTTCTATATGTATTATGCTACCTGAAATAGACAGTTTTACTTCTTCCTAATTTAGATGCTTTTTATTTCTTTTTCTTGCCTAATTGTTCTGGCTACGACTTCAAGTACTATGTTGAATAAAAGGATAGGTAGGCACCCTTGTCTTGTTCCTGAGCTTAGAGGAAATGCTTTCAGTTTTTCACCACTGAATATATTAGCTGAAGACTTGCCTTTATTGAGGTATATTTTCTCTATACCCACTTTGTCTAGTTCTTATAAATGGACATTAAAAAAACTCAACATTTTTTAATGAAACTTTATTTAAATGTTATTTTTAAGTTTACCAAAAATACAAGTATAACCAAGAAATAGGTGAAGGGATCTGTCCCATCAGAGATCAGGACTTTTTATAAAAACAAGAGTAATTATGAAAGGAATAGATAAAAAAAGCCAATGGAACAAGAGAGGCCTATGTATATATGGAATTTTAATATATGACAGAAGGAACATTATGGATCAGTGAAAAATATATGTTGGACTTTTCATTCAGCTGGTCAAAGATACAGTTATCTGTGGGGGATACATTCCAAGATCCCCAGTAGATATCTGAAAACACAGTTAGTACCAAACCCTATATTTACTGTGTTTTTCCCTGTACATATATACCTATGATAAAGTTTAGTTTATAAATTAGGCATAGTAAGAATTTAACAATAATAGCTAATAATAAAACAGGACAATTACAACAATATTTTGTATTAAAAGTTATGTGAATATGGCCTCTCTCTCTCAAGATATCTCGCTGTACTGTACTCACTCTTGCTGTGATGATGTGAGATGATAAAATGCCTACACGATGAGATGAAGTGAGGTGAGTGACAACAAGCATTGTGACCTACTTTTAGGCTACTACTGATCTTCTGGACTGTGGTTGGCTAAGGGTGACTGAAACCATGGAAAGTGAAAACGCAGATAAAGGGAAGACTACTGTAATAATATGTTTTCCATATGGGTAAAAATTACAACTGACTTCCAACTTGTACCATTCATAAAAATCAATTCCAGTTACATATTAATAGGGCTTTATTAATCAGAAAGTCAAAACATGAAAATTCCTAGAAGAAAAAATAGAAAACTAGGCTAGAGGAAGGTTTCCAAAGACCCCAAAGGTATGAAGCATACATGAAAAAAGTATAATTTTTTTTCATAAACTACAATAATTTAACCTAATTATATTATTTAACCATATTAACACAAAGAATTACTGTTCGTCAACAGATATCATAAAGAAAATGAATAAAGAAGCTACAACTAGAAAAGGTATCTATAAAACATGGTACTGACCAAAAATTAGTACCTGGAAAATACATAATTTCTGTAAATCTTTGAAGACAGCCTAATACAAAAATGATCAAAATGCAGGAAAACTGAATTAAAAACAATGAAATAAGATTTTATACTCATCAATCAGATTCTTAAAATATGAAAAGAATCTTATTATAGGGAAATATGATAATATAATAATATAATCAATTATAGGAAAAGACAGTGATCCAAAAACACCTTGAAAACAGTTTGGCATTACCTTGTAAAGCTGCATAAATATGTATGCCAAGACCCAGCAATTATTTTGCTGGGCATATTTCCTAGCAAATCTCTTACATGTGCAAATCTAGAGATTTACATGTCATTATCTTACAATTTTGCTTTAACTATATATTACATATATCCTATTGTGTATATACTATTTTTTACAAACAACTATACTTTTTTTAAAAATAAGAAACTAAATGGATGGGTTGTGGGGCCAAAAAGTTATAGGTGAAGAATATATTAGTGAGTCAAAACAAATCAAGCCAAGGAATCCTATGTAATGGTAATATAAATGGAAGAAGAATAAGAAGACACTGGAGAAGATCCAGATATTCTAATGTCTGTTTAGTAGGAGCTTAAGAGGGAAAAGAGGAAATGTTAGCAAGACAATTTTGAACAGATGACTGCCAAGGATTTCTTATTAATAAAAAAAGATAAAATGAGTCCTCAGATTGAAAAATTACCAGAAGCAAAATATGGGGGTAATAAAAATAACCATATCTGAAAACATTACAGTAAAAATTTAGCTCATTAGAGGAAAAGATTACAAAGGAACAATCATACATTAAGAAGAAAATGCAGGAGAATATCTTCAGGGTCTTAAGGTAAACAAAGATTTCTTAGGACAAAAAAGTAGAGATAGTGTGATTCTGTTCATGTAAGATTTAAAATAGACTAAGGAAGAAATTCTTACATGAGACCCAAATTTGAATCACACACTGATAAATTTGACTAAAATTAAGAACTTCTTTTCACAAAAAGAAACCATAAAGCTAAAGACAATTCATAGTATAAGATATATGTTCTTATAAGCAAAATAGATAAAGAATCCTTACACATCACTTAGAAAAATACAGATAATCCAAAAGAAAAACTAGTAAAGACTTGAACAGGTAACTCACTATAGGATTTCAAAAGACCAAGAGAGTGATATGAGAATGTGTTCAAACTCAACAGTAAGAAGGGAAATGCCAGGTAAAACCACACTGAAGTATCATTATACATTCACTAATGGGTAAAAATCAAAGTCTGATAATACCATGTTAGGAATCATGTGCAACAATGGAATCTCTCAAATACTGCTATTGAGACTGTAAACTACTATGTACAGGTATTAATGAAAAGTTGAAAATAAGACAGTTGAACATATGATGTGTTATGACCCATTCATTTTTCTACTAGTCCTAAAATACAGAAAATGTTCATAGTAGCTGTTTGTAACTGTCAACAACTGGAAATAACCCAACTGTCCATAACAGTAAAAATGATAAAAGTGTGGTATATTCCTACAATAGAGTGAATCAACTCTGACTATAAACAATTAGTGTGTATGAATCTTAAAACAAAATGCTCAATTAAAAAAGCAAGATATAAATGGATATATAATAGATTCCAAGTATATAAATATCAAACTCAAGTAAAACTGAAACTATATTGTTGTTAGTGGCACTCTCAGGTGGTAAAACTATGAAGGGATACAAAGATACTATAGACACAAAAAGATCTGTGCTGGTAATGTTGTAGTTCTTGACTTGGGTGATAGTTCTATGAAAGTTCGTTTCATAATTGTTTGAATATCCACCTATAGTTTGTTGCTTTTCTGTATTTGTGATAATCTGCAAAAAAATAATTAAAATATACTGTCTGCTGAGCATATCTACTTCTGTAGGTACAAGTGGATAGATGGATCAAAGAAACAGAAAAGAGGTTCTGAAATACAGACTAACATAAGTCAGAACTTATTACTGAATAGGCACATAAAAATGATGAAATGAGCAGCTGTTAAGTAAATGGTGCTAAAATAAGACCTGTGCGGGGCTGGGGGGGTAACTGATTTGTACTTTCAATTCATACCTTATTGCAAAAACAAACGACAGAAAGTTAAAAGAAGAGAATAAAATATCTATAAAATTTGTAGAGTACAATTAATTGTCTAAATTCAGAAGTCACAATAACCATAAAGGAGCTGAATACAAACACATTAAGACTTACACATTAAAGATGCCAATCCAAATTAAAATCATAAAGTTAAAAGCAGTTTCTGGAAATGGGCGAATGTTTTAATTTCATAAAGACCATAAAAAGTGACTGAAAAAATAAGGATAGTAATAGATACAAAGTATAAAATATAGTAGTGGAGAAGCTGAGGATAATAGCACCATTAATGTGAAAATCTCTATTCTCACCAGTATTTAATATAATGACAGTATGTGAAGAAATCACTGTAAAATTTATTAGGGATGATGATGGCATTAAAGTTATGTAAAGGAGAAAAATGTCCATATTTTTTAGAATTAGATATTGATGTTATATAAAATTGAAATGACATGCAGTCTTGGATTTATTTGAAAAAAAAACTGAACAGTTAACAACCGGGACAGATAAAGCACTGGCGTCTTGGTTGTTCCTCAAACACAGACAAGGCACACCTGCTTCAGGGCCCTTGAATGTTTTGCTTCCTCTCTCTGGAGTGCTCTTACTCCCAGTAACCACATACAGTGATTTACTGCTGTACTTCTTCAGGTGTCTGGCCAAATGCCACCTTTATTAGAAACATTTTCTCTTACCATGACACATAACATAATAGCACCACCCCCACCCTCTTTCTCCACTTGGTGTTCCTTTTTATTAGCACTTACTACTACTCAATACATTATATATTCATTTGTTTATCTTTCCCCTCCCTGGAGGGTAAGCTCTGGGGATAGAAAGTTTGCATATTCCATTCACTGTTATAATATCAGTATTGAGAATAGTGCTAGACATACAAGAGATACTCAATGAACAGATACTGAATGAATGAATATGTTGTCTTGCTCTCCCTCCTTCATACCAAATCTCTATCTTTGCCAGCTATTATGTTTCAGAGGAGGCACAGGCTCTTTATTTCTAACAGTCTATCTAAATAAAGTCAATGAAATAAAGTCAATGATATGCATGCTCAAATCTCCCTCTATAACATCTATGTGTCTCAGCATCTCTTCTGTATCTTCAGCCTCACTTTCTGCTGAGCTCCCTATTTTAGCCTCTCTTGTGGTGGTCCTACTTTATACAAGTTATATACAGATATGTTCTTGTAAGCCTACTCAACTACAAATCCTGAAATTGCTTATTCCTTTTTTCATCTCTGTAGTAGCTAGCAGAGTACCTCACACACAGAAGAAAAATCAGTAAAAGTTCATTAAAAATATGAATGAATCAATGACTGTATGAGCTATTATATCTAAAAAAAACCCTAAAGAAGTAAGTCTTTGGCAAAATAGAAAAAATGTTTCACAAGACAGTGATGCTTTTTTAAGACTAAATACAAAAGAGGATGAGAAGCTGATGAAGACCTAGATTCAAAATACAGGTAAAAAAAGAATTATCATTAGAGAGGGCAGAGGACGGTAGCAACTAGTTAAGAGTTGGGAGAGAGTATAAGAGGAAAAAAGCAGGCAGAGTGTGTTAAGTTGGGGAAAAGGTGGTCATTTGAAAGGTGATGCTGAGAAGGGTTACCTCTGCACATTGGTCCTTAAGTTTTTAAGGCGTAAATGCCCAGATAGCATCTCAAACATGCAATCTCTCCACTGACCATTGGGTCATTCATTACCTGCCATGCCTCACTTACCTGGCCACTGGTCTCTCGTTAGTTCTCTGTCAACCAACCAGGGCTCCTTCCCCTGCTCCAAGAAGGAGATCACATCTGGTTTAGAAACAGAATGCCCTGCTTACAAGAGAAGTAATGAGGTAAGTTTATGATCAGACTATCCCAGAATTCAAATCCAGTCCCTTCATTATTAAGAAAGAGACAAAGAAAGGTGTGTCAGATTTATGAAACGTAACAGAGGACTTGAAACTTTCCCCATAATTCAGTGCAGCTTCCACTTTCTAACTCTACTATGTTAAAAACACTCCTCTGAGAACAGGATGTAGAAATCCAACTGGTTACTGGAAAGGTAGGTGAGTATTTCGTACCAGAGGAAGCAGACCTTCTGAGGGCAAAATCTGAATTATTATGGACAGATGTCCTTACCCATTGAAACCAGGTTGCTGTAATTCTCCAACATCACATCTCTGTATAAATCTCTCTGATCATCATTCAGGCACTCCCACTCTTCCTGAGAGAAGTCTATGGACACATCACTGAACATCACTGACTCCTAGAACAATAACCATGTATATCACTTGATTAATAAAAGGAAGTGTTTTTGTGAAGGAAAGAGAGAAGAAAAAACAAAGGTAGAAGAAGTGAAAACAGCAAGCATATAGAGTAGGGCTGAATATTT